GAAAGAGTGGGTGCCGTGTTGGTAACTGAAATAGATGCTTCATCCATGAACACTGGTGACCATTTAAGTGCATTTTGCTGCTGGTTCCCTAGTCTGTAATGCGGGCCGTACGTACAGTTCTGGAGAAAACCTCAAAACCAGCAACTTTGGCTGGAGTGTGTTTCATTCAAATAAAGGGCTAATACCTCAAAGAGAATTAACATTTAACAATGAAGCTTGTACTTGTTTTACCAGTTTCATCACTTGTTAATGCTCGTCATATTCTAGCCTTCTAGTTTCAAGTTTTGGCAAAAGAAACATAGTGAGACTTGTGCCTCCATTGGTCGTAAAAATAGCAGGAACTTGCTCCGACTGCTCTTGATTAGACAGGCTTCCAAGTTAGGGACAGGAAAAGCTTGATCCTGTTGGTAAAATTGTTGCTGTGCAATCAAAATGTTATTATGGTTTCAGATTCCAAAAACTAATGATTCTGAAACAATTCTTAATTTGAGATTGGTCGAGATAGAAATTATCATTGGTCATTAGCCATCCTTTTCATTGTTTTTTCACCGGACGACATGAGCCACTTTATTAAATAAATAGATAGCATTTTGCTTCTCCTTTTCAGTCTCCCAGGTTTGGGAGCTCATATACACATTAAGACACAAGGATCGTTAGATGTATGTCGATAAAATAATGCATGGAAAAAACTTAGATTCAATTTTCAAGTTCTTTGCCTAAATGGTATAGTCTGATTCTGGGTGTCCAGACTTTTAGATCCACTAAAAGGATCTATTCCAGAAGGCAGACAAGTCATCTCTGCTAGATGACAGAAAACTGGATTTACCACCTTCTGATGACTCAAGATCCTCTTTCTACACAAACGCGCATGAACCAATTCTTGTTTCCCCATGCCGATGATCATGAAACTAGGCATGACGCTTCTCTTCCATACCTGATATTAGATTAATGCAACTCCGATACCCTAAGTGACCAATAATAGATTAATAGCTCAATTACCAATAGTCAGTACATGAACATTGGCCACCGCTAAACTGATGAAACCGATAAGGGTCTCGTAATACGATTTTCCGCCCAAGAATTCCACTAGCAAACTTATATACAGAATGACAATCACCACAAACACGAAGGTTCTTGAAAATTTTAAGAGTTGAACCTTCAGGAGAACTGATCAAGCCATATGCCAAAGCCAGTCTCTCGCTATGGTTCCAAAGATTGTGCTCCTTCTGCTCTTCATCTGTATCTTGCAAGGCATAGCTTGTATCAGGGACATAGCCTGCTTCTTTAATCATCTTCTTAAGTTCTTCCAACTTTGCTTGTATTTCACTAGCCTGTGGATGGGACTGGTCTCCCATTCCAAATAAACTCAACTTGTTCTTCAATTTGACCCAGCTGCACGCAGGTTTCTTCTTTATTTTATTTAATCCCATTTGCCTCTTGATGTTCTCTACATCTTCCCATTTCCCAGTGGTTGCACAAATATTTGAATAGAGAACATAAGCAGAATCATCCGAGGGGTCCAACTTCAAAAGATTTTCTACAGCTTTTCTTCCAAGCTCCACATTGCCATGGGTTTTACATGCTGCCAATAAACTCCGCCAAACATGATCAGTTGGTGACACTGGCATTTCCTTAATGAAAGTTTCAGCCTCGGCAAACCTTCCTGATCGTCCAAGAAGATCAATAATGCATACGCAATGCCCAATTTTTGCTGGAATACCAAACTCTTTTATCATTGATTCATAGTACGCCAGACCCTCCTCCACCATACCCCCATGACTGCAGGCAGAAAGAAGAGAAACAAAGGTAACATGATCTGGTTTTACTCCCAGATTTATCATCTCATGAAAAGTTTCCTTAGCCTTCTCAAAAAACCCATGTCTGGAAAAAGATGACGTCAATATATTCCATGATAACCGTGACCGGTCGATTGGTCGAGGAATTATTCTTAACACGTCATCAATTTCCCCACATTTTCCATACATATCCATAGTGGCACTTGCAACAAAAGGATTTGAGTCACAACCAAGTTTGACTGCCAAACCATGAAGCTGCTGGCCTTCCTCCAATATTGCCAGCTTGGCAGCAGCAGCAAGGCATTCAGAAAAACTAAACTCATCCACGTTTACTCCGGCACGCCTCATCTCCAGAAGGAATTTCAGAGCCTCTTCCATATGACCATGATGAGCATTTGCTGCCATCATAGCATTCCACGCACTAGCATTCTTATAAGTTAACCTGTCAAATATGTTGTTGCTCGAATTAAGATCACCACACTTAGCATACATTGTTATAAGCGAATTCTGCACATATTCATTAGACTGAAATCCTGTCAGAATTATAAAAGCATGGGTGGGCATCCCGTGTTCCAATAGATCATTAGGAGCCAAGCAAGCACCAAGAACATTTGAAATTGTAATATAGTTTATAGGTACACCTTCTTCTCTCATCAATTTGAATGCTTTTAATGCCTCATCTGGTTCTTCACTGTCCGCATGACCACCAATGAGAGCATTCCAAGTTATTCCATCTCGCTTAGGCATTGTTTGAAATACCTTTTTTGCTTCAATCATTAGACCAGACTTTGCATACAGTGTAACCAATGCATTGCCAACAATCACATTTTCATGAAGACCAATATGAATTACAAGGGCATGAAGAATCTTGCCTTCAGTAGCAAATTCAGGATCTGAACATGCAGCCAATGCACTTGTAAAGGTCACATAATTCGCTCCTCTTCTCATGTAAAACATTGTAGCAAGAAGTTTCAGGGCATCCAGGCAGTTCCCATCCTGAGCATAACAAGCCATCATGGAATTCCATGAAATCATATCCTTCTCCACCATCCCTTGGAATACCAATTCTGCATCTTCACATCTTCCAGCATCAGAGTACATGGTTATTAGAGTATTGGATGCACAAACATTTGAGTTCCATCCAAATTTCAACACCAAAGAATGAATTCCTCTGCCCCACTTCAAGTTATCCACAGAACCACAGCCTGCTAACATAGTTGAAAGTGTAGTAGAATTTATTTCCTTGTGAACACGGAACATCCAAGAAAAACATCTTAATGATTCCTTACAAAGACCATTACGTATGTATGCTGCAATCATTGAGTTCCATGATATCGTGTCATGCTCATCCATGCCACTAAAAACATAGCAAGCTTCTTCCACGCTACCAATATAACCAAACATTGATATAAGAGAGTTTGCAACTGAAACGTTAGTTTCTAATCCATACTTTATTACATGTCCAAGAACTTGATAACCCAACAATTCATTTTCAAGTGACACACAAGAACTAATCACAGAAGACATTGTGTTGTCATTGCAACTCATTCCTTCAGACCTCATTTGCCGATATATATTCATTACCATGCTTGGTTCTCCATAGTCCACATAAGCAACCATCAATGCAGTCCAAGAAACTACGTTCTTATAAATCATCTCCTGAAAGACCTTCATTGCATCTGCAGCCAATCCATAATTTCCATACAAATGCACAAGCGAAGTGCCAACAAAAACATCACTCAGAAGACCAACTTTAACAATAAAGCCATGAACTTGAACCCCTTCAATAAGCATCCATTCTGACCTCTCACAGGCCGTTACCAAACTAGCAACAGCAATCCCACTTGGCTTAACCCCAAAATCCCTCATTTCATTAAAGAACCGCATCGATTTCCTGTAAAAGCCCGCACGAACAAACCCCGACATCATATTATTCCAAGAAGCATCATTTCTTTCAGACATTTTATCGAACAGGTAACGAGAAAAACCTATATGGCCAAACTTTGAGTACATATTAATCAAAGTGTTACTGTAAAACACGGTTAAATTGGCTAATCCCTTAATGCAAAGTGCATGTAAAGCTTTTCCGGTAACTTCTTTGGTGACTTGAGAGAAACCCTTTTGATAAAAACAGGAGATTTCGGGGTTTGGGTGGTTTGCGAGGGAAACATATGTCCCATAATGTCTGTTTGTGTTCATGTTTGTGGGTTCTTCTTCTATGATTCGGAATTCTAAGGAAATTCTTGAGATGGATTTTGGGTTCAAGGAGTACTGGCGGGAAAAAATGGGGGGTATTAGTGGAGGCTTGGGTTTGAAAGTAGAGAGTTTTCTGCAGCACATAGCCAGGTTTAACTACTTGTTTGCCCCGGAGGGAGGCTGAGAAAAAGCAGTGTATGCTCGCACGAGCTCTTACAACCTTGATGGCATCATTCACCATAATATACTAATGGGATTTTAAAGACACCATCTATATTGAGACAGATGCATCCATTTACCATAAAAGTTAGATCTTGGTTGCCATGGAAATCTCAAAACCACGTCGTTTTCATTCTTCTTTGCAATAAAACAATGATGTTTTGGATTTTTCTTCCTTTGTTTTTTTTGAAAACCATCATTTTAGAAGGGAAAATCTTTAAAGTTGACTTGGTAAGTAAACTGGGTTTGATCGAGTCTATCTTTAAACCAATTTGATATAAGACTTGATCTATATCACATCTCAAGTCAATAAATTATCGGGACGACTTCTTTGAAGATATGAAACCTAGCAACTGTTAAAAATAGCTTAGGAAGTGGCTGCGCTATCTTAATACAAGGTGATCAAGTATTTCATAGAAAAACTCCATTAAAAATAAAATAAAATAAAATAAAAGGAACCATGGTTTCATCAAAACACTGTAAATTTAAATAATATAATGATTATTTTTTCATCCTTAATAAAAATAATTGAATTTTTATAAAAATAGAATAACTAAATTACCTTTTAAAAACAAAAATTATTTAATCGGGACTTAAAGTTTTTTTTTAACTTTTCACTTTTTGAAGCACATTAGAACAACTACATTACCTTTACAGAAATTCACTTTAACTAGAGTCTAAGGGTTTTTTTAATATTTTCAATTGAGTTTTTTTTTTTGTTATAATCAAGTTTATTTAAGGATAATTTTATAATTTATAAATATAAATATTATTTAAAAAATAAAGGTAATTGACGCATACATTACACATATTAGAGTGTGGATTATTTTCACATTATTCAAGCAACGCGTGCAAGGGCATATGGAAAGAAATTGATGGCTTTTGGGATAATGTTTGAATCACCTTGACGACCCTTCCATCTCTATGCAGCGTATGTGGCTTATCGATTTCTAATTTGGCACTAATGACTTTTTCTCACCTTTATTTTCTCTCTAGTAAACTCTAGGATAAATTGAAAATAATATAATAAAAATTAAGGTGTAGTGAAATAAGAAAAAGAAAAAAGAAAAGAAAAGAAAAGGGAGTTAAAAAGTAGAAAAGAAAAAAAAAGAGTTTATGACTGAAAATATCTATTTTTCCAATAGAAAAAAATGATCTACTTGTTTTAAGAAATGACTAAAGTGATTTACATAAACTGGTCGGACCGTTTTGTTTTTTATCTCTATTATAACTTGATAATCTGCAATAGGAGGGGAAAAGGGCAATTTCATTTCTTTTTCTTTTCTTTCACCTTGAATGATTAGAAAGTGATGGTTATGAATAAAAATAAAGTGTTTTGAGAGAAAAAGTACACATATCCTCTAGAAATTCAAAAAGACCAAAGAGAGCAAAGATTGAAACATAGAGAGAAAGTAAAGAAAGAAAAAGAAAAGAGAGAAGTTTTGGGAAAATCTTGACAAATCAACTTTCAAATATATTTAGAAACCGAGTAAGGTGTTGAAACCCCTTTGTATCAATTTGAACAAGAATTTAGTTATTTGAAGAAACAAATTGACCAAAATTGAGTTAGGTTTCGAGATGAAATTTTATGGAAAAGTAAAATTGTTAAAATTTAGGTTTTCAGAATCCTTATAAGTTGTTGTGGGAGTGGAATCATATTGAAATAACAAAGAAATCTGGATGAATAATAAAGCCTAAAGGCCATCCATTGAGACATAAAAAAGGGAGGTTTGATGAATTTGTGTTACTCTTGTAAATTGTGTTGAAATTATGATAACTAAACTCATAGGTAATAGTTTAGATGAATGACTCTATTTCTATATGATAAAAGTGAATTTTAATGTTTTAGAAATTCAATATCTCTGAGAAATTGATGAAATTAAAGTGAGTTTTAATTGTGTTAATGCTTGTAATGTTATTGTGATGGGTTGATTGGTAATTAATTGGATGAATAAGAAATGTTTGAGGTTTCAATCTAAGGAAAACTATCCTTCATTTTTATAAGGTTTTGGCCAAAAAAATAAAACCAAGGGGGAGAATTGTTAACATGGGATTATTTTTTTTTTGAGATGCGTTGGGTTGACTATTTTATAAATGGGTAAAGGATTAATGAGAAAAAATTTGAAAGAAAACATATCCTTCTCTTTTTTGTATTTTTAGCTAAAAGATAAAGGAATTGTATTGTAGTAATAATTATTTATATATTAAACAAACTTGTTTGCATAAAATGAAGTTAATGAAAGGATAAGAGACGTTTAACATTGAGTTGTTAAAATTATAGGAGAAATTGCTGAAAGGATATTGAGATAGAATCCTATATATAGAGTTCAAATGTTAGGTAAGTTGCACTTTATTAATTATACTCTATTTAGAATTGTTAAAATAATATAATTAGATCATTGATTGTTGAATAATCTTATTATCTAATATGATTTGTTGTTATATTGTGAGTTGGATGTCTAAGTATAAGAACTAATACCCTGTTTTGGGTTAGATGGGTAATTCTTGATTAAAGAACTAATGTTCTATTCTGCACTTGATTGCATGATTAGTTCCTTGGTTTAAGGATTAACATCTTATTGTGGGCTATAGATATAAATATCCTGAATAGGATTAATGTCTTATTTTTGGGTAGCGCGGAGGTTATCCTGAATATAGATCTATATGAGTTCGGGTTAAGAGGATGTTTTAATTAATAGGAGGAATTAAGTTAATCAAATGGATGTGTATACTTTAGGTTATTTAATAAATTTATTATATTGCATTGAAAACCTTTATGTCATATTAATTGATTAACAATATTAAATAATTTCATGATTTTTAGAGTTTTCTTAGGACTAGTTAATGATAAAACCTTTGCATTTTGTATTTATAACAATAATAATGAATTTGTATATCGTGTATAGTTATTTTTAGATGATAACAATATTAATAATGTAGCATATTATGTGTAATTACGGGGATGATAATTAATTATTGTAATCACTATTCTAGAATCTTACGATATGTTAGACATAAATATTAACTAAATCCATGACTATCTTATATAGATTTTATTTTGATAAAGTTTGTATTAAATTCTTAATGTAGTAGATAAATGATTCTTAGTTTAAATTATATATTGTCATGTTTTGATTATTGTATGAATGACTCAATTGAACTATAATGGAATGTGATGAATGTGATGCATTGCTTTGTGGTGTGATGAGTCCAAAATGATTGGACAATGAATGGAACGTGAATTAAATAAATATTAAAGTGTAGTAGATTTTTTTTTTTATTAATAATTTAGGATGCCACAGTATAATATTTGCTCCATTAATTACATGTTATTATTAATACCAAATATATGATCTATTACTTTGTACGATGTTGCAAAGTATCTAAAAATTTACTCAATATCAAATATGATCAACTTTATACCTAATGATTATTTATTTTTGTCTCTTCTATATTATCACATTAATTATAAAATAATTAATTTCTTATTTTATCTTTAACCTTACAAATTATTATAATCAACACAAATTAAGGATACACCAATATCATCTCTAGCCCAAACTTGACATTTGTTCCATTATTAAATTAACTAGCCTATCTAATTATCTATTTATTAAGGCACTAGTCCCATTAATTATGGTAAGTAGCTTCTTTAATTGCCTATTAACTAGGTCACCAGTCTCATTAATCGAAGTAATATTTTCTCCAATAGCCCATTAACTAGGGTAACTAGTTCCACTGCTGATTACTAAGCATTAGCCTTATTATCGAATAACTAGTTATAGACATATTAATTAAGAGCACACTACATTTAACGTGTTTGTCATTACTTGGAATAATGAATTTTTTGAATAATATCAAAGTATCAAATGTTTGTCACAACAATATTCGTTCATCTACCGATTATCTCACATGTTAGTTATTTTAAAGTTCTCATTACACCGACACGCGCGCGTGCGCGCCCACACACACACACACACACACACACACACACACACACACACACACACACACAAACACATATATATATATATATATATATATATATATCAGTAATTTAAACTTATCCAATAAGACACATTCTTTATTATATAATACATCAATCATAAAGTATATGTCTTAATGGTTGTTACAATAATTCCATGATTAAGTACGCGTTTTGTCCTGAAAATTAAGGGTTGTTACATTAACCTAGATTTAAAAGATCCACTTAGATTTATGTCATTTATTTTCTCCTTTTGTTTAAGCTCAAGGTTTTTTTTTTAGATTTATTATTTAACATTTTATTTAATTAGGGATTGAGCTTCGCTTTTAATTGTTTTATATATTAGATTTGGTCCAAATTCTTTTAAGTTTGTTTTATTTGAGATAATTTTTAAAATTGATTTTTTTACCACTTTATTCTTTTTCTTTTTTCCTATTCGATTCTCATTCTTTTGATTACTATTTTTGATTTTGGTGATTTTTTTAAATTGATATTTTTTTTCAATTGTATCTTCAATATTGAATTGGTTGGTAATTGAGTTTTTTGATTGAGTTTGTGTCTA